CACCAAAATACATAAATGGATACATAGTCATTTACATAACATAGTATTGAACATGAATCTACTAACATAAAAAGGGTGTAATTAAATTAATTTGTCTTTAAAGATTTTTTAAATTTAGACTCAGATTTGGTCTATTTCAAGGGTTGAGGAAGAGAGTTCCAAACTGACGGAGCAAGGTGGGCGAACGATCTTTCAGCTAATTTTTTACCCTCTTTTCTAGGAACTCTTAAAAGATACTGATCGCCTGATCTTAGTGATCTAGATGGAACATAAATCTGGATGAGATCACTAAGATATGAAGGAGCTTTATTATTGACACATTTATGACATAATATTGCAATTTTATATGACATTCTAGCTGACACGGGAAGCCAATGCAACGTTCTTACCATGGGAGTAATGTGGTCTCTCTTCTTTTTCTTTAGTACAAGGCTAGCAGCATGATTTCGAAAACGTTGTAACTTGTGAAGAGTACCGTGGTATTTGGTAAGTTAGCTAGTAAAGCATTGCAATAATCGATGCGTGAAAACAAGAAAGATGACACGAGCGTTTTCAGCGACAGTTCATTCAAAAACATAGACATATGACCAATTCTACGCAATTCACAAAATACAATGGTACATAAATAATTGATATGATGTTCCATTGACAATTTTGAATCAAAATACACTCCCAGGTTTTTTGCTTTATTAGTAAAATGCAGTTTTTCATTTTCAGTACAAATATGATCAATGTCTACGGCGATATGGCTTTTCTTTGGGTTACATAAAAGAATTTCAGTTGGGTTTTTTTTCATTAAGCTGGAGCTTATTATCAACCAACCACTTTTTGATGTCATCAATGCACAAACCCAAGGTAGTAAGCAAGTTTTAACATCTGATGGTGGAACAGATTTATATAACAGTGTATCGTCAGCGTACCTGTGATAATTCATATTGTGCATTCTAAACACAGCTCCAAGCGGCTGTGTATATAACGTATACAAGATTGGACCCAATACTGAACCTTGAGGCATTCCAAAGTCTAGCTTAAAAATTGACGAAAGAGAGTCATGTACAACCACAGATTGTGTACGGCCATTCAGGTAGGACTTGAACCAGTCAAGAACCCTGCCAGACAGGCCAAACGTGTTGAACAATCGTTCAATAAGAATAGTGTGATCTATAGCGTCAAAGGCATCACTAAGATCAGGAAGAGAAAGAATTGATATTTTGTTCTCATTCGCCTCACACAAGAGGTCGTTATATAATTTCAATAGCGCAGTTTCTGTGTTATGAAATTGCCGATAGGCAGATTGATAGAATTCATATAAATTGTTTTCTTTTAAATGATTCTTCAATTGAACCAAAACAACTTTCTCCAAGATTTTTGATAAAAAGGGAAGGTTGGAGGCAGGTCTGAAATTCTTGAGCTCCTCCTGGGAAAGATTTGATTTTTTTTAGAAGGGGAATAACTAAAGCATGCTTAAAGAGTGATGGTACTGCTCCAGACTGAAGAGACTCATTAATGATGGAAGTTTTAAATCCAATGCATTATCAAGATGTGTGATGAGCAGTGGTGTTGGAATCGGATCAAGACTACATGCGTTATGGGGTGATGACATTATGATTGATCTTACATCTTCTTGTGTTACACGCTCAAATTCATAAAAGATTACCCCAGAAAATGTTTCGAAACATGGTAGTTTACGGGTAGTCATGTCAATTCTTTTTCCTAATCGTGGATATCTTGTCTCTGAAGTATTGACCAAAAACACCAGGAAGGTCACTTTTATGTACATTCGAGGGAAACTTGTTGCTGGCCGGATCTTTCTTACCAGACAACTGATTTGTTGTACAAAATAAAGCTTTAGAGGTGGTATATTCATTCATTTTTTCCGTTATAATACATACATTTGGCAGATGTTATTAACGATTTCACTTTGTTGTTACAGTGTCTATAAATGTCCTCATGAATTTTCAGCTTTGTTGATCTCCAGCGTCTTTCAGCTCGTCTACGTTTCATTTTTAGATTGTTTAATTTCCAAAGTCATCCACGGGGCAGAAGGTCGATCAGTCACTGTTCTGGATTTGACTGGTGTATGTTTGTTGAGTAGTTCACACATCTTAGTGTTGAAAATGTCTACCTTTTCAGAGGTTGAACCGTGTATGAATTTTAGAAGCTGGCGAATGTCCAAACTTTTCATTATCAATGTCCATTTTCCGGGTTGTTATTTTGCGTTGTCTCAGTTTGGGATTCCCAATACGAGTTATTTCAAAGGACACCACGTAGTGATCAGAAATGCATTTGTTCTTTACTTGAATTTCACCAATTTTATTGACACTGTCCGTAATCACCCAATCTAATGTGGGTTTTAAAATGTGAGCGGCGACATCAATGTGTTGATAGAGGCCACACGTGTCTAGAATAGATTTGGTAGATTTATAGGCTGTGTCTTCTTGGTGGTATGCAGGTCTAGTAAATCCTGGAATTCAATAATGAAATCTTTAATTTTCAGTTTGTATTTCCTGCTTGGAGGTGATCGATAGACACAGACAAAAATGGCGGGACACCCTTTGATATGTAGACTGATCTCACAACATTCGAACGTTTTAAAGGAGGGTATTTTCTGTGGAGTGATGTTTAGAGATCTTTTATACATTACGCATATCCCTCCCCCCACCATTTCTTGGGACGTAGATGGACTTGTATCCCGGTGGAGTTAGGCCGGCTATAATAATTTCATCTCCGACGTTTCGCAACCATGACTCCGTAAAAAATGCGATATCGGAGTTGGACTCAAGTATTAAATCATTGAGTAAGACGGTCTTTTTTTTAGGTTGACTGTGTGTTCAGTAGAATAATTTTAAGATTACTTGACAATTCAGTTACGGTGTTTTTTTGTGTGTCAACGGCAATTAAGTTCATGAGAGTAATGACGCTTCGAGGTTCATTTAAACCAACACACCTATTCCCTGTGACAACAATGATTGGTCTTTATTTTCTTCTACCTCCTCGTTTCCCCCTCTTGTATTTTTTAACTTTGCTGGCTGAGTCTTTAGATCTTTCAAGGCCAAGCTGAGACAAGCAAACGGCCGTTTCATATGAAATGTCATGTGTCTTTTTGTTTACAGACAAAAACTGGTCTCTAGTGTAGCACACCTTTGTAGATCCCGCACGGGGACTCACAATACACACCAGACTCACAACTTGACAGTGTTCACGTGAATTATTCAGAAAAATGTTGGCATAGCTATTAACATTATAAACGGGGTGGGGTTGGGTGGCGAACACGGCTTTCCACACAATACTGTAAATGTTGAAAATGGGCAAAGCCAAGGATAGAACTTCCATAACGAAATATTTTTTTTGAAAATAGTTGGTAATTTGCGATGAAGCACTGATAAAAATAACACAAAAAGCACAAATGTTTCTTATTTATCCTGTAAGCCAACTTGAAAAGCCACAATCCATCCACAAGATACGAAACAGACACAAACATTACAGAGCAGGAAAAAACGCAGCCTGTCAGGCGCGGACCACCTACATAAAAAAACCCATTCCATATAATCAGTCTGTTTTTTAGTTCATCCAATTTTTCACTAAGACAGTACAATTTTTAATAAGGTGGACAAACAGAGAGAATAAGATACATTTAAATCTTCGTACACGCAAGCATAAACACACAAACAAACACACACCCGCACATACACACACAAACACACACACACACACACACACACACACACACACATACACACACACACACAAACACACACACATAAATAAATGAACTTATCTTTGTGTGAGTGTGTGAGTGTGTGTGAGTGTGTGTGTGTTTGTGTGTGTGTATGTGTGTGTGTGTGTGTGTGTGTGTGTGTGTGTGTGTGTGTGTGTGTGTGTGTGTGGCATTAATCCCATTATCATTGTCACTGTTCTTGTCATTATCATTATCTTTAATTGGTTTGTCCCTGTGTGTGACTCAGAATCTTGGTGTCGTTCTGCGTCAACTTCACAATGCTGGGCAGCACCATAGTGTTCCTCATACTGGCCTCCCAGAACATCCAGGGAGTACTGGCTAACCTTTGTGGCGTCAACGTGTCCTTCTGCTACCTGCAGATCCTTGTGGCTGTTGTTTTGTGTCCAGTTGCCTGGTTAGGAACACCCAAGGACTTCTGGTCAGTTCCTGGATATGGTGATTTGGGGGGGGGGTGAGGGGTGTGTTGAATTTTAAAGAGAGGGTGTGGGTGGGTGTGTGGATATTATTGAGAGGCCAAATGATGGGTTGGTCGCGGGAAGGATAACATTGAGAGGAAAGAGGTGAGGGGGGGGGAACGCTTTTGAGATGGATAAAGTTGTGAGGAGGAAGGTGGGTGGGTTTGGGGGGGGGGGGGGTGATTTCGTTCTGAGTGTGTGTGTGTGTGTGTGTGTGTGTGTGTGTGTGTGTGTGTGTGTGTGTGTGTGGGTGTGGGTGGGTGTGGGTGTGTGTGGGTGGGTGGGTGGCGGGGGAGGGGAGGTGGAGATGGCTTCAGATGTGATCAGACTTTTTTTTAGTTGTTGTTTTACAGTGTGTTGGGCGGGAGGGAATGGGACAATGTGTTGCTTGCTAATTCATTTTTAAGATGATCCCAGTGACAGACATACAGAAAGACAGAAATACAGATAGGAAGATAGACAGACCGACAAGCAGGCAGGCAGGCAGGCAGGCAGGCAGGCAGAAAAGTCTGGAGACCCCCCCCCCTCCAAATATTTTTACATTTGGTTGGGGAAAGATATCTAAAAAATGGCCATTTAAGTTTTTGCAAATCAGTTTGTGGTTATGTGTCTATGAAATCGAACCCTTTCCCTGTCCGACAAGTCACACATTTAAACGTTCAACACGTTACTCTGACTCATTATAGCGGAGATTCAAATCTGTCTATTAGATGTGCGGTCTGAAAAATCCTGAATTTTGCCAAACTGACATGAAAAGTATCATAATTTCATCGGGCACAAACTTGACGTGGTACGCAAGAATTAATGACAGTTTTTAAATCAGCGACCCCAAACTACCTACGAGCAAGTCTTAAAACTTATGCCACAAAATGTGTGTTGACCAGACGAACGTGTAACCAGTCTCGAACCCCCACCTTTTGTGCAGGCCTGTGGCTGTTGGAGCAGCGAGCGCCACCAGTTTCGCCTGCGTCATTCTGGTAGCCGCCATGCTTGAAGAATACATGGGAGAGGTCAGGGACATTCCAGTGGTACACAAGAACCCAGGTATTGTAAACGACACGGTGCTTGTGTTTTTAGCATTAAGTCCGTTTGTGTGTGTGGTGTACCTTATTTGTTAGAGTTGCCTGTTTATCTATAACTAGCTTGGGCTGTATTTGTTTTGTAGTTTTACTTAACTGTTTATTTGACTGATTATTTATTAGAGCTGTGTTTTCGTTAGGTAACTGCTCGCGTGAGTAGTTTTTTGTGGTTTGTTTGTTTGTGTGTCTGTGTTTCTCTGTGTGTGTAAGTATGTATGTGTGTGTGTGTATGTGTGTGTGTGTGTGTGTGTGTGTGTGTGTGTGTGTGTGTGTGTGTGTGTGTGTGTGTGTGTCCAAATGTGTATGTTTGTGAGTACGAATGTATCTCCTGCTTTGTGGATGTCTGTGTGTATTATTTAGCATATTGGTGTTTTTCTGCCAGAATTTCCCTCTGCTGAGTGTAAGTATGTAAGTGTCTGAGTGCGAGGTTGGGGGGGGGGATACATGTCTATATCATATGTGTGTGTGTGTGTGTGTGTGTGTGTGTGTGTGTGTGTGTGTTTGTATTTGTGTGTGTGTACGCAGGCGCGCGCGCAAAGATGCTTTCCCAGCTTTTTTACCTATTTACTACGACCCTCCCTCCCCTTTTTTCTATGCCCACTCCCCCAGTTTTGATTGACCTCTTCCCCTCCATGGGTATCGTCATGTTCGCCTATGGAGGACACCCTGTCTTTCCAACATTCCAAGCTGACATGAAAGTGCCTGGTGACTTTCCAAAGGCTGTAATCTACGCTTACATAGGTGAGCACATTCTGTAATATATGTAGCCTACACACACTGGAGTGTAAACAGCACATGTGTATTTCTCCTTTCTCATGCCAGACACTCTTAAAAGACCTAGATTTGTATTGTCACACACCTATTAAGATCATTGCAAAAGACAGTTTTTGGCGGTTTGGAGGTTTTGGTTCTGAAATGAAGAGCAGAGCCAACTTGGTAATATTATAATCTACATGGGCAAAAGAATAATCAGATATAAAATCAATCGATGTTCGAAAGAGACAGTTTTTTTTTGTCTTCTAGTGAAAATATTGTGTAAAGCGC